TGCTTATCTTCAACAAGGCTTCTGCATTGCCAATGTGTGACACATGGCCTTCTCAAGATGATGTTGTATGGCGAGGGCATGTCAATCACCATGAATTCTGTCTTGATCTTCTTAGTGGCGGCTTGTACTTCCAAGCTTGTTGCGCCCAGTGGCCACGTCGGCGTTCCATTGAAGCCGACTATCGGGCCATTGGATTGCTCCAAGTCATCAGGATGAAGGCCCAACTCCTTGTAACATCTAACATACATGATGTCGCAAGAGCTACCTTGATCAATCAGGATGCGTTTCACTTGGCACTCCCTAACCTGGAGGGATACTACCAAGGCATCATTGTGTGGATGTTGGACCATCTCTAGGTCGATTTCAGTAAAGGCTATTGTTGGTTCTTGGCATTCTTCAGGCCGAGGTCTTTTATATCCTACCTGGTTTACGTGCTGAAGGTGTTTTACCTTCTGGGTCTCCCCTCGTATGTCGTTTTCGTTCACTTTTGAGTGAATTACATTAACCACCCGTGGTCCTCCTGCCTGTGGTTGCTGTGCTGGGGGAGGCAGAGCTACTGGTGCTTGAGGCAATCTTGCCTGTTCTTCCCTTATCCTGGCTTCATCGACAAGGTCCCTCAGATGGCCTTGCCTCACTAAGTCTTCTAGGTGTGCTTTTAGGGCTCTGCAACCCTGAGTTGGGTGCCCTTCTTCATTGTGGTAAGCACAACACCTACCGACGTTTCTTTCCATAAATTCCCCTGGTGTTCTTGCCGGCGCTCTGAAATAGGGTTGGTTTCGTATTTGATCCAGGACTTTGTGGATCGGGACTCGGAATACAGTCGTTACTGCCTGTTTAGCCTTTAATTCCGTTTCCTGTTTGATTGATCCATTGTTACTTCGGCTTCGCTTCGGCGAGCCGTTTCTTTTCTCCTGCGTTGTCTCTTTGTTTCCCGACGCATCCTCCTCGGCTCTGGCGTACTTCTCGATTCTCGCCATGAGTTCTTCCATGCTTTTTGGCAATGTCTTTGCCAAAGACTTCTGTAGTGGACAGTCAGCTTTCAGGCCGTTCTTGAAAGACACGACCGCTACCTCTTGGTTGCATTCGGGTATTCGATTGAACACCTCGTAGTACCTTTTTGCGTAAGCCCTAAGGCCTTCATCCTTGGTGATTTTTAAAGCCATCAGTGCGTCGACCCTCAAGGGCTGTAGTTTGTTCGTCACAAACCTGGCTACAAACATCTTGGCCAGGCCTTCCCAAGTCTTTACGCTTCCCTTCGGTAGTTTATGGAACCAATCTGATGCAATCTCCCCTAAGGATGAGGGGAATACTTTGCAGAGCAACGGCTCGTTCCCACTATATAACGCTATTGAATTTAGGTATAGTCCAACGTGAAAGTTGGGATCTGACTTACCATCATATATTTGGAACCTCGGCATACTGAATCTCTTTGGTGCTTCAAATTTGTCCAGTTCCACCGAGAATGGTGTCCTCGGCTTAACTGGGGAAGTTACTTCGGCTTCAGCATTCTGTTGCTTCCTCTTAAGGTAATCTCTCAAGTCTTCTTTACTCCTTCTTGGAGCTCGGCTATCTCTGGACTTCAATCTTTTCGGCATACTACTTTCGGCCTCGTGGTGAGCCCGTATTGATCTTTTTCCATGGGTTGTGTCAAAGTAGAGCGCCTGCCCTTGAACATGCCGATGTTCTTTGGGCTTTGGGTCCTTCGTATGATACGTCCTTCGGGACTCCTCTCGTCTCGGCTCCTCTCGTCCGACTTCCCTGAAAGGTCGGTGAGAGTGCCTTCCGCTCCTGGTGTGCTGAGGGGCTTCGGGGATTGTTTTCCTTCCTCCCTTCTGGGTATTAGTTGCTGGAATCGGCGTGTCGTGCAGCGAGTACGGTGGCTGCATGACATTGTTTTGCATCATGAAGTTGACGACCGATTGCAGGTCCGCCAACTTGTTTGCCAATTCTTTTACTTCTTCATCCCTCCGCAGGCACCTATCCCTCCATACCTGGAGGTTATCTTCGTTATAGTACTTGTTTTGGTCTGTCTTCTTCGAAATGTCGACCTCCTGACCGACGTATTTCTCTCTGTGGCCCTGGTCACGAGTTTCTGCATTGTTGTTGTCTCCTTCAACATCAAGGTCAATAGGTCTGCCACTCCCAGCAGGAGTGCCGTCTCCAATCTTTTCCCTCTGTCCGTTACTGGCCATCTATTCTTCTAAGTTCCCACAGACGACGCCAAATTGTGTGGGAAATTTTCTGACCACACTGCCCGTTTAGTAATCAGCTAGAGAGAACCAGCAGAATAGATGGCTTCAGTTAACTTGTAACAGAAAGAAAAGGTTCCGGTAGTGGCTCTTCCACCCGGGGGCACTCCGACGATCAAGTCAGTATATCTCTCAAAGATAATCAAGTGCTAAACTCACTGCTCAAAGCCAAATTGCATACCTTAGACCCACGGGAGTGCCTCTCTTTTATAGTTAACTCACTCCTTGTCCCACTAGAAGCCTGACTTCTATGGATTCCAACTCAATACTTACTTTGGATTCTTCAAGAGATAAAGATAAACTCCCTAAGAGCTTTATCCTCATCTTGACTAAGTCTCCTCTTCATTCTAAGACTCTTGTCCCTTATCCGTTTATCTCGGATTCCGATATCTTCGGAGATAACCTCGGCCTTGCCGAGATCACCTCAGCGTCACAAGCAGAACACGTGGCACCTCGGCTGACACGTCAGCGTCACTTTGCCACGTGTTGGTCCTCAGAAAATATATCCCCACATGCACTATACTGCAAAGTTATATCCACCCACTTCCACCAAGTTCGTCAAAAATGTCTCAAAAATTTACTGTCACAATATGAAACTATGGTTTTTGGCAAACCATGCAATCAAACCACTTCTCAAAATAACAATTGGGCAACATAAGTAGTATTTGATATCTTTCTACAAGAAAAAAAAATTGTTAATTTTGGAAACAACAATGATAGGTGACCCAAAAAATCATGGCTCGAAACACTCAAAACGACGTCATTTTGGATATAAAACGACGTCACTTTGGGTATAAAATAGCGTCGCTTTAACACACTTTTAACACATTCGAGCCATTCGAGCCACAAAAATTTAAACTACCAAACATTTTCCTTTTGGAAAATCTGTCAACAATCACATTTAATTTTACATGAAAATTATATATGAATATTGTTTTTCTTTATTCATTTTTTTAATTATTAAATTTATTCCATATTTCGTTTTCTATTAAGATTTTTATTGTAGAAATTAATTTAAGTGCTAATCAAAAATTAAAAAAAAAATACATATATAATTAGGCAAAATTATTTTATATAAAAAATATTTTATAACAAAACAAACAAAGCCTAAAACAAGATAGCCATAAAAATAATTTATATTTACAACAATATGCATCCGTATGATACTTTTATATAAATTTTAGGATAAATTACAGATACACCTCTTGAGGTTTGCTTAAAACACGAATTGTTCCTTGCGATTTGAAAAATTATAAATACCTCCCTGTCAAAATTTTTTATTTAACAGAATTTATTGAAAAAGTGAAATTTTTAACTATTCACATATATAATAATAAAATTATTCGAATTATTAATTGAAATAAAATTTTAACATTATTAAAAACTGTTAAATAACTTGATAATTTATTAATAAAAGAACCTATTTGTTATGAAATTAGAAATCTTAGAGACATAATGTAATTTCTAAAATCATAGGAGATAATTTGTAATTTAAGTAAATTTCAGAGGTGTATTTGTAATTTATCCTAAATTTTATGTATAAATAGAATTTTATACAAATTCTTGCTAATAAAGAGGCTTGATTGAGGATTTAGCTAGGAAAAATACTAAGGGTTGGTTTGGAATGTGGGTTGGCTTTTTTACTTTTTTAGTAGATGTTTGGTATTTTTTTAAAAAGTTAAAAAGTTATTGAAAAAATAAAAAAAGTTAACACTATTCACATACATCATTGGACATTTTGAGTTAAGAAAAAAAAAAAAGTTATGCAGCACAGTGCACTGCACGGAACCCAAACAATATTTTAATACCATCACAGTGCACTACACGAAACCCAGCACAGTGCAGCACAGGGTAGGAAGGTAATTTTGCTAGGGGTGCTTTGGCAACCTAGTAAAAAGCCAGCTTTTAACTTTTTACCCGTTTTGAGTCACATCACTTCTCACATTTTTTCTCACAAAAAAACAAAATAAACTAAAAAAAATAAAAAAAAATCAGCTTTTTACTAACTTCTCAAAACACCACATATTTTAATATACATTTTTTATAAAAAGTCAAAAAGTTATCCCAAATACATTTTTTTTTTACTTTTTTAGTCAAAAAATCAAAAAGTGCACTCATATAGTTCATTCCAAACAATCCTTTAGTCTGGGATTAAAAAGTTTCATTTGGAATACTTTTTAGTTTTTTTAACTTTTGTTAGAAAAAAAATTAAATGATTATAATTTGAATGTGATATTTTGCCTTATTGAATTAAAAAATCTATTTTGTCAAAAAGTCAAAAAATCTAACATATCAAAAGAAGGCTAAAAATTTTAAATATTTTACTAAATATTCTATTAATATCTGAATACAGAATCAATATATTGTTCTTTTATACCCATATAAGACATTTAATTAGATATTTTAATAAAACGTTTCAAATCCCTAACATTACTCTCTAGCTAGAGTGCAGCGGTGAACTGGATCTTCAACAAGTGACTACTGTTCTGAGCACCAACTCTCCCCACACTAGTACGAAGGATAATGATACATTTTATTAAAAGTGATGCTCTAAAACATCATTAATGAGTTGACAATTATTTCAAAAAAAAAAAAAAAAAAAAACAAGATACATGCAGTGAGTTTCGTTTATTATCACATCATTAGTGATGTTTTTAGAACATCACTTTTAGTGATTTCAAGCATTATTGCTGGTATGAATGACCACATGTGTTATGTCTAACATCAATCACCACCACACCACCTATTTCCTTTCTTTCATTCCTTTATTCTTTGATACTAGAGAGAGAGAGAGAGAGAGAGGGAGAGAGAGAGTGAGAAGAAATGGCTGAAGATGAATACCCACAGAAGGCTTTTGGTTGGGCTGCAAGGGACACCTCTGGGTTCCTCTCCCCATTCAAATTTTCTCGCAGGTTTGCTAAACATTTATACATATCTATCTATACATACATACATGGATATTGATTTGTACACACACAGTCTCGCACCTCCACATTCCCTTTAAGCTTTGTTTGGTTGAGGATTTAGAAAGGAAAAAGAAAATAATGTGTAAAACTAGGTGAAATATCTATTTTTTTTCTTGTCTTTTCAAATCCCTTCTATAATCTCTCGATCAAACCAAACACACGTCAGTATTTTATGATTAGTTTAATGATTCTTGCTTCATTTTTAGTTTCCATTTATGTTTTCTCACGGTTTTTATTCTGTTTTGGTTTTAAAGATTATTTTTTATTTTTTATTTTTTATTTTAAACTCGGACTAATCCGGGGCAAAACCGGTATGGACTGCCGCCGGCAACAATTTATGGCAACTATTTTTGACGGCCATTTTTTGGTGGCCATTCCGATGACTATTTTTGACTCAGCCGTACCTCATAACACTCTACCCTCATTTTTATTTTATTTTTTTTTCCCGTTAAGAAAGAATATCTATTGAAGGTCCACGCCTTAGATAAAATAACCGAGCATCTGGAGATCTGTTCTTGCGATTATGTGGCTTTTGGTTGGTGAGTTTGAAGATCTGAAGAGTCCGTAAATTATTTTCTCTCTCTAGAAAGATCAAATCGAACCCAAAATCAAAATGGGAAACAAATGGAGGAAAGTGAAGCTCACTCTGACGTGCTTGTACGTCCCAAGTGGGGATGGCAATGGGAGTGAATAATGCGGGTGGATATTAATTCTCAATGCCCATTCCCATTCCCTATAATAATTTGGATTCAACTTGTTTGATTGGACCCGTCCAGTTCGGTCCATGGGTCAATTTTTGAGTTCCGTTTTGATAATTCGAACCGTTCAATGTGTAGAACTCATCAAGTACTATATCTTTGTAAAAAATCACGTTGATCAGATATTGATAGCTATTTGATCGGATCATATTTGTATTAAAAAAAATAAATGGTGAAAAAATAAACGGTTGACAAAATTCTGATCCAATCAAATAGCTATCAATATCCAATCAACGTGTTTTTTTTGCAAAGATACAGTACTTAACGAGTTCTACACATTGAACGATTCGAATTATCGAAACGGGGCCCAAAATGAACCCATAGGCCAGACTGGACAGATTCAATCATGATCTAAACATGAGACAAGCTGGACCTAACATTTTTTCCCCATTCCCCATTTGGCATGGGTACTATCCTTCCCATCTCCTAATTAACTTGACCTTTTTTTTTTTTTTTGAAGTTTACAACCAAAACTAAATATATATTCAATCTTATTTTATTTTATTTGACTCATCAACAAAATTAAATATACTTTAATTAATTAATAAGTTTATTTTAAAATAATCAAATATATAATTTTGAAACAATCAAATAAGTTTTTAATAATTAAAAAAAATGTGAAAAAACGTGAAAAATTAAAATAATAATAATAAATTATAGAATCAAATAAGTTTTTAATAATTAAAAAAAATGTGAAAAAACGTGAAAAATTAAAATAATAATAATAAATTATAGCCATCCCTCTCCCTCTCCTACAATTTTACATTCTTTTATTATAGCCATCCCTCTCCCTCTCCTACAATGTTACGTTCTTTTGTAAAAATTAAAATATTTACAAAATATTTAAGATAAAAAAAAATTGAAATGTCTAAATAAAAATTATATATTGAAAATAAAAAAATAAAATTTTCTTAAACATTATTTAATATTTTTAAAAAATAGATCCAAAAAATTTAAAATACTCAAAATACAACTCAAATTTTTTTTCAAAATTCAAAACTCTTTTCAAAATTCAAAAACTCATTTCAAAATTCATAACCAAATAAATTTTCTCTTTTCAAAACTCACAATTCCACGCTCAAATCATAACTCCACACTCAAATCAGAATTTCAAAACTTATTTTCTTTCATTGACCCATGTAACATGGTTGTTAGGCCTTTTCCACCAGGGACTAGTCTGCAATTCAATTAAATCTAAGGGGTCAATTTGAAAATCAACTTTTCAATCTATATAAATTGGAGGTCCTTCTCGGCATCTGTTGTTATCACAGGGTCTGGTAAAAATCGAGGAGAGAGAAGAAAGGCTTCCTCTCACTATACCACTTCACTTTCTCTCTCTTTCGTAAGCCAAAAATAAATAAATAAATAACATATGGGGGACATGGGCGGGTACCCATCCCCGACCATACCCTATAATATTTAAAAAATATTACTTAACCGACCTAACAGATAAGAAAAAATGGGAGAATCCATGGCCTTGTTTGGTTTGTGTTTCGGAAAAATTTTTGGAAAAAATTCTCTACAAATAAGTTTTCAAAGTTAATCAAACCAAACAAATTTTTCCAAAACTTGTTTGGTTTACAAATTTTTCAAACAAATCTCTCTCTCATACACATCAAATCAATCACTTTTTCCAAAACTCTCTCTCAAAATAATTTTTCAAAACATCTTTTGAAAAAAAACCAAACCAAACAAATTTTCGTACTTTTTATCTCAAAACATGGTTCTCAAATACAAACCAAACAAGGCCCATATATTTGGGTCGAGGTGTCCATGGATATCCATGAGGTAGGATTCCCATTGCCATCCTTAGTCCCAAGCACAATAGAGGATTCGCCACCGACTGTCTAGTCCACCGAGACAATGCCGGAAAAGTCACCAGTGTCAGAGGTCGATGGTGGCTGGTAGTGGCTAATAGGTGGACAGATATACACAAATAGGTGGAATAAAATGATTTTTTTAATTATCGTTGTCCTTATGGCCCAAAAAGAATAGAGTTTGGATTATTGTCCGAAAAGTTTGAAAATTGAACTTCTAGCCCGACTCTCAAGTGCCCTAAATTAAATTATTAGTATCACCTTCTAGAAAGTACGGATACGGAATACGGCAATATGCGGATAAGGATACGGGATACAGATATGAAGATACACCAAAATTTGAAAAAGTAAGATATGGGTACAGTGGGATACAATTGTAATTTTTTTTTTTATTTATAGTTTTAATAATGTAATATGCATGAAAATAAAACCTCAAACAAATTAATAAATAAATAGAGGGATTTCTATTAAGTTAAGAGTCCTCAAACATTCATGAAATATCCAAAACTAAAAGCAAAAGCAAATGTAAATTAAACATCATTCATACATGCTAACACCAAAAAAAGAATGAGAGCAAAGAGAACAAACGTGAGAGAGTGAGATAGTGAGAGAGCGAGAGAGAAGTGAGGGAGACAATAAGGATATATTAATTTGACAAATTCTATTACTTTGACTCACATTATATTACTCCTATCAAAGAACTAAACAAAGTATTAGAAGTAATATGTGATTTCGAGTATCTGATACTTCAAAATTAAGTATCCGATACTCCAAAATTAATAAAAAATTAATTAAGAAGTATTCGATACATATTTGCGAGTATCCAAGGAGTATCAGTATCTGATAAATATTCGATACGGATACGTCTCCATTTTTTAAGTATTCGTGCTTCATAGATCATTTTGTATTGTGAGTTTGCAGATTCAAATCTTATAAAGACGAGTTTGATATCCCGTGTTGCTTCTTTCCTCTGCTAACAATTATCAGTTAACCCTACCAATGTATTATGTGTGACAAAAAAAAAAAAAACATTTTCATAATTATCTACTTTATAATATAATTATGGGTTAATTACGCATTTCACCTCTATAGTTTGACACAAATTTCACTTTAGTTCCTATAGTTTCAAATTGAACAATTTAATCCCTACACTTTAAGTCCAATTTCAATTTGATCTTTCCGTCTAAATTTTTGTGAATTTTGTCTATTTGTACACCTTAGAAAATTGACAAGTGTCCCAAAATTGTTAATTATCTTGGTGATATACTATATTATTGATATTGGTAATATTGTTGTCTTTTACACTGTTTATATTATTCGCAGAGAAAACAATGATGACGATGTGACAGTTAAAGTACTTTATTGTGGGGTTTGTCACTCTGACTTGCATACTGTGAAAAATGAATGGGGCTTCACCATGTACCCAATTGTTCCCGGGTATGATGCTCATCTTGCATTTTGATTTATTCTCTTGTTGTGCTCTTTACAATGTCAATACTTTAACTACATAATGGGTAAAGAAGGCACCATTGTTAGTTTTGATATTCTTGTTCAACATGTATAGATGTTTACATAATTTACACATTTAAATACAATATGTAACTATAGCGCGGTTTCAAATCTAGGAATAGCTTTTTGTGGGTATCTGAATAGCCATCGCCAAGTGGCAAGCCTCGTAGGCACCACATCATCCCCAACTTGGATAAAGAATCTCCAAGTAACAAGCCATTTTGGTGCCACATCATCTACTAAATAGATCGTTGGGGTCTTCAGCCTAGCCCTAGACATGTTAATCGCTAACGGTCAGCTGACTCTACCTAGAGCACATGAACTGCCAAGTATAGTGTTATAGCCAGTTAATGCAGTCAGCACTTTAGATTTGTGCTATGGCACCGTAGGATGAGCCATGGCATAGGATCTTCGGACGCGTGGCCTAGGGAATTACTCAATTGGGTCAAGGCATCTCCGCTCGGCCACTTCTGCTTTGTAGAAACATGGCTCGGTATCCCTTTGGTGCAGCCAAGGGCATTTCTACTGGACTAAGATTCCCTTATGCCTCATTTCTCCTCTCCAATGACTTATCACCAACATGATTCAAGACACTTCGATAACCATGGCCACTTGGGCTGGGAGTAGGGCCATGGAACCCCTTCACCTGGGATCACTAGAGGTATCTGGCATTGAGGATAGAATTAAGGGTTTTGGAGAGATTGATATGCAAGGTCTTGAGTTCAAGTCTCTGTGGGTATGACGGACAGCTAGTCGACCAACCTATGTACAGTGGTGACTAGGAATTTTTGTGAGTGGTGTCATTTAATTTTTTGTTGTATTATCTTTATTTTCAATATTTTTATTTTTTGTCTTTTCAAGAGTAAAAACAATAAAAAACACTCATTATTTTAATATCCTTTTCATTTTTATAAAAAAAATTTCCCCTTAAAACGGGTATTTATATATATATTTAAATAGTTTGTCAAACAAGATTTTGATATTAATTTTTATTTTTCTATTTCTGAAAATAAAAAATTCTCAAATCATAAATAAAAAGTAATATTATTTAAAAAATATGAATAATTCAATTGATAAGTTAAGTTTTATTTATTTATTTATTTTGTGACACTTGTAAAAGAAATATTTTGATGGCTTCAAGTGAGGTTTTTAAAAAGTTTGGAAATTTGGGTACTTTACCCCACTTTGAGGTGAGCCTTTCTATTACTTTAGTTGTAAAACTTTGTTATTCAATTATTGTTGTTCAGAAATTGTGTGTTTGAGTGAGTTTGCTTTTGAAAATGTTTGTTAGGCAAAATCTAAACCAGGTGATGATTCTACATGGGACAATTGTACCTATGTTGATGAAGCTTTATTCTTGTTTCCTTCTAATTCATATATGTACGTCTGTGATGTGGATCGTTATAAATCATAGCATTATGGATAATGTAATATAGGATCATAGATCACAATGTGGCTCAGATTCACCTCTCTTGACATTTACCTTTCAAAACAACCTTTTCATTGATTTAAGTGTAATTTTTTCATTTATATAATACTTTAATATTTGAATGCATAGATATTGTTTTATGTAAATTAGAGATTATGACTGAATCTTTACGATTTTCATTTTGAAAATGCAATTTTGATTCACGATTTGAAAACTATGATTACATGTATTGATGAATTTTTTAATTGTTGTATTGCAGGCATGAAATTGTAGGTGTTGTGACCAAAACTGGGAAAAACGTTGAGAAATTCAAGATTGGTGATCGAGTTGGAGTTGGGGTCATTGTTGGGTCCTGCAAAACATGTGAGATCTGCCAACAAGACTTGGAAAATTACTGCCCAAAAATGGTCCTTACTTATAACTCAATTTCAGCTGAAGGGGTGAAGACCCAAGGTGGTTATTCTGATGTAATGGTTGTCGACCAGCACTATGTGCTTCGCTTTCCTGATACCCTACCTGCTGATGCTGGTGCACCCCTACTTTGTGCTGGGATCACAGTTTACAGCCCAATGAAATATTATGGAATGACTGAGCCTGGTAAGCATTTGGGTGTGGTTGGACTTGGTGGACTTGGTCATATTGCTGTGAAGTTTGGGAAGGCCTTTGGGTTGAAAGTCACTGTAATCAGTACCTCGCTGAAGAAAGAAGCAGAGGCCATCAACAAACTTGGTGCTGACTCTTTCCTCATTAGCACTGATCCCACAGCAATGAAGGTTAGTAAAAGTTGGCTTGAAAAGTTCAAAGATGTTGAAATGGTTTTTCTAAACAAGTTGGGATTGAATAGATTTTGCTAAACAAGTTTGGCTTCATGACACCTAGATGCCAGTGGGTTTTGGGTATTTAGTTTGATAATGGATGAAAATTAGGTAGCAATTTTCAGACCCCGCATGCATGGAAGAAACGAAGTTGGGCATGGTATATGGTTATGTAGGTTTGATCTAGGACTTTTACAAGCCCACTTGATATGTAGGTATTGAGGCTGTAGAATTTGCTGAGTGTAGTCAAATTTGAAAATTAAGCTTCATTATTTTATTAAAATGAGCTCAAGTTTTGACATTACCTAATACCTATGCATCCTATAAAGTTGCAGATAGGTGTGGCTTGGTTGTCTTATGATGAGACATGAATCAAGAACCATGAGTAGTATTTAGCAACATGTGTTCAGGTTTCTGTGTACATCTTATAGAGTTCTTTGCAGGCAACATTGCTTTGCTGTTTTATGAATGGAATTTGTAGACAAGTCAATAGGGCCTTAAAGTTGATTTATTTAAAACTATTCTAAAGTAAGTTTTTCCTATGCATTTTTGGTGCAGGCTGCTATGGGTACTATGGATTATATCATTGATACAGTTTCAGCAGTTCATTCTTTGGCTCCACTGCTTGGCCTATTGAAGCTGAATGGGAAACTTGTTACTGTTGGCCTGCCTGATAAGCCCTTAGAACTTCCTATCTTCCCATTATGTTTGGGTGAGACACATAATTAATTATACCTCGTCTAAACTATCTGATGTATTGTATTATCATTCATAAAAATTGTTATGGTGCAACTTGTTGCTCTAGTAGTCCCATCCAATCATATCAATGGGCCTTGCATTGGTTCAATACCTTATTCCTCGTGTGCCAATGCACCTAGTTTGTTTGCTTCTCTTCACATGCGAGATGGCATTACATGGGAGTGGTAGGTAGCTTGATGTACATTCTTGGACCCATTTCCTGCCAGATAGATATACCTAAGGTTTAAGTAGCTATGCTTTTGAAATTCTTAAATTACAAAGATATATTGAGAAAATCAGCTGGAAAAAGCGTATGATAAAAAAGTTTGCATCAAAGTGGAAACGACTACTGAGAAGTCAAAGAATCAATGCATGTGATGCGTGCTCCTGAGCTTGTTTGTCATGTTTCTTTAAATTTTTAGGACAAAAGTGCATGATAATATGTACAAGAAATGTCCGACAAACAAATAACAAGGCCTAATGTTTTTAACTCAGCCATTATGTTCTGCTTTTCATGTGGGTCCAATATTGTGATCATATTTAATTTTGGGTGGTGATTTGAACATTTAAAATAGGGTTCGTAACCTGGAGCAATGGCAAGGTCTCATTTGCTCTAGTGTTGTGACACGGGTTTGACTCAAATGAATCAACCTACGCAAAAAGGCAATGGCAAGACTGTTTGCCCTGCTACCTCTTTCAGAGCCTGCTGAAAAGCAGGAGCCTCATGCACTTGGTGTGACCATTTACACAAACTTTTGAAATGATGAGTGAAGAAGAGAGCAGGGGACTGGGCAAACAACTTTCAATTAGACCTTTTCTGGCAAGAGTGACTGACTGGTTCACTTTTTCTGAACAAGATTTCCTGCATCTTTTATGTATTGATTTGATATTTTTTGTTTGACTTGTTCTTGTTGGGAAGCTTGATATACATTGTTAGGCTCATTTCGTAACTGCTTTATTTTTTTGAAACAATTAGTGACTTAATAGTTCTATGTTACGCTGGCAGGGCGGAAGCTTGTTGGGGGTAGTGATATTGGTGGAGTGAAAGAGACACAGGAGATGCTAGACTTTTGCGCAAAGCATAACATAACATCAGACATTGAGCTGATCCAGATGGACTACATCAACACTGCCATGGAACGGCTTGCCAAATCTGATGTCAGATATCGCTTTGTTATTGATGTGGCAAACTCCTTGTTGCAGCAGTAGCAGGAGGGAAGTCAGTGATGATGTTGAAGCAGCTGCTGCTATTATCTCCTTTCAATATTGAGATCTAAACCAATAAATCTAAGCAAGTTTAAGAAAACTTTTAATTTGAGGGATTGTGACAAAAGTTGATGCATGGACATGAAATGTTGGTGACTGTCTTCAACATGACATGACTGTTGTTATGTGATGTCCAGTTTGAGTTGAGAGAAGCAATGAACTTATTTGTCTCTGGTAGCTTGCTTTTAATCAACTGCTGCCATCTATTTTGTTTCAGTTGCTCCTTTTGCAATTAGAACTTGGTGTGTGACCCCTTTGAGATTGATTCACTTGCTGCCTTCTTAATCCTTTATTTGTCGTTTGTGTATTTTTCTCTTTGAAGCTCTGCATAACTGATTATAACAGTCATTTTTTCCTAGTAATTTTGCACGCTTTTGATCTATATTTATATCTATATTCTCATAGTAATCTGACTGATCTGTCTTTCTCGCAATAGAAAATGCCAAAGCTAGATGACTCTCATTTATTGGACATTGTCAGCAGGATCCCATCTAGCCAAAAGCCAAATGGCTGTTGGAGAATACTATGGTGAAATTTTTCTTCACCATATTAGCTTAACCATCGTTATCATCAGAAATGTTTTTAGTAGGGAAAATGATGTACACACCAACCGCTACTCTATGTCTCTAAGATCAGCTTCTTCTTTTTTTATTTTTTTTTTGTAAAAATAAATGTCTGTTCATTCAACCAAACTAAACAAAAACCTAAACTTGAGATAGATAGAGAAAAAACATTTGGGTTCGGGCTCATAGTTTTGTAACAAGGCCAAGCCGGCAGTTAAGCAATCAAAGCTTAAGCTCAACGCTTAGTTTTGTTAATTTACCTCTCATTTAAAAATATGCAATTCATACTCACATGGTTGGGGATTAAAATAAAATTCATAATTAATTGACAGCTTCTATTTACACACCATGTTTTTGTCTTATTACAACCACAGCACCAAGGGCGGCCTAACTATTTTTGAGTAATTAATTTAAATAACCATAGTTTAATTTTTAAATAATAAAGCTTTTGTTGGAGAGACTCTATTTACACACCACATTTCCTCTCAAGGTACAGGTGTGCCAATGCACCTAGTTTGTTTGCTTCTCTTCACATGCGAGATGGCATTACATGGGAGTGGTAGGTAGCTTGATGTACATTCTTGGACCCATTTCCTGCCAGATAGATATACCTAAGGTTTAAGTAGCTATGCTTTGTAATATTATTTAAAAAATATGAATAATTCAATTGATAAGTTAAGTTTTATTTATTTATTTATTTTGTGACACTTGTAAAAGAAATATTTTGATGGCTTCAAGTGAGGTTTTTAAAAAGTTTGGAAATTTGGGTACTTTACCCCACTTTGAGGTGAGCCTTTCTATTACTTTAGTTGTAAAACTTTGTTATTCAATTATTGTTGTTCAGAAATTGTGTGTTTGAGTGAGTTTTAGGGGTGGGCGCGGGTCGGTTGCGGCCACAAAACCTTCAATCCGCCATCCGTCCGCCAGATTGACGGATTGGAAAAAATCAATCCGCATCCGTCCGCCAATCTGGCGGATGTGGGTTGAGCGGATTGGCGGTTTGGCGGATGGATGCGAATCGGTTTGGTGGTTTGAAATTTTATAAATTTTTAACATAGTTCAACTTGCGCACTTCCTCAAAAAAAATAATAAATATTACAGTCAATGACTTAAAAAAATATTACAATTACTGCATGCCTCATCCAACGAAAGAAAGTTTGAAACTTTAGAATATTACAATCACTACATGCCTCATTCACATATTACAATCACAGCATGCCTCATCCACATAAAATATTACAATCTGTAATTCTTAAAATATAAAAACAATTCAAACTACCAAAACATGAATAGAGTAATAGTAGAGATTATATGTCTCTGTATTATTACATTTATATATGTTTTTGAAAATAAAAACCAACCAACATATATCATATTTTCTATTTATTACTTTTACAGTTAGATTTAAAAACCAAAAAATATAGATAAATAATACGTTTATTTTTTTTAATTCAAAAAATATATTCAAGTTGAAAACTTTTTATCAACAGAATATTTGAACTCTTTTTCAATTGAAAACACAAACAAAATATTTAAACAAATTGAAAACACAAAGTTTTATAAATTACTAAGGGTGCTCGCGGTTTGACGGTTCAATTGCGGTCAAAAGAATCTTAAATCCGTCATCCGTCCACCAAATTAGTGGATTGGAGAAAATCAATCCGCAACCGTCCGCTCGTCATCACGCATCCGTCCAAAATGCGACGGATCGATTCGGTTCGGTCAATTTTGACAAATCAATATATCCGCTGCTCACTCCTACACAGAACTCTCAGTCTATAGACTCTCTATTTTTTTCTTTCAGTCTCACTCACAATTTTCAAATTTCTAAACACCCACGCTCATCCAACTGTCTATAAACTCTCCTTCCTGTCTTTCAATCTCACTCCCAATTTTCAAATTTAAATTTCACAACACCCACTCTCTCTCTCTCTCTCTCTCTCTCTCTCTCTCTCTGCCTTGCTTCCCTCTCCGACGGTGATACATCTCTTTCCGACGACTCTCTCGTGACCCAGCCATGGTGCTGCTCATCACCTCCTCCAGTCATCGCCACTGCACAACGCCACTTCCTCCAGTCATCTCCACCGCTGCTGCTCATCACCACTGCCACCGTTCATCATCGCCGCCGCCATGGATGGATCGACATCAGGCTACTGCCAACGTTTCTGGAGAGCTCCCCACTCTCCTCCCTGCTTTTTTAACTCTCCCTTCCTTTCCTACACACTGTCACGCTGACTTGGAGAGAGAGAAATCACATCCACTGTGTTGTGTGACTGTTTGATGTATATGGGTCACATATTGGAGTGTTGAGACATCTTTGATCACTGGAAGGACTATACCAATGTTATGTGAACTGGGTTTCTGAGAGAGAGATAAAGAGAAAGTGAGAAGGAAAGTGAAAGAAGGGATGTGGTGTGGGAACAGAGGCAGCCATGGATGAGATCTAGAGAGAGAGGAGAGAGAAGGGATGTCGTGTGGTGGGGCGCCGTGTCTGGCTAAGTTTGCTTTAGTAGATGAGGGTTGTTTGGATAAGACTAATTGGAATGTGTAACTCATTTTTTTAATTTTTTTTATTTGTCCCCGCTGACCAATGTTTATCTTTCTTTTTGAGAAGTGACTCATCCAACATGCTTAGGGAGAGATATATTCGAAGCATATTCTTTGTCATCTTTTTCTCTTAATTTTTTAATGCACCTTCAATGATTAATTATGTTAAAGTTTACACAAAAATAAGTGGGATTTAATTTTATTTGACAAGTATCAATAATTATAGGGGTGTTTTAAGAAATTAGTTAAAATTTTGTATTACTTTGCTGTTTGTGTGTTTTGTTTGTTTTTTATTTATATAGATTTTTTTTTATGCGGCTTATGGATTTGGATTTAATTTTTTAAAAAATTTGAGGTCTGAAATAATAGTTGATTTTTATAAAATGAGTTTTGATTTTAAAAATATATTTTTATTTTCAGTTTGATTTATGAAATGGATTTAATTTCTTAATGGAAAATGAGTGTTGATTTTTTATGATTTTGAAAAAAGCTTTTGAAATGGGTGTTGATTTATTATGATTTAACAAAATCAAATCACAAATTTAAGATAAAATAGAGTGAAAAAAAAAAAAGGGATTCATTGCCGCCTCCACTTTGTGATTGTCCACTACTATTGAAGAGGAAAATCGAACAAAGGAAATAAAGAGTTTGTTATTTGAGCTCTAAGAGGAGATGTAGTGCTTGTTAAGAGATGAGAAAGGATGCAATGAGAAAATGAGAAAGAGAGACGTTAGAGAGAGAGAGAGAGAATGAGAATGAGTAGAGAGAGTGAGCAAAAAAAAGAAAGAGTGAGCAAAAAAAAATACGTATAGTCTATAATTAAAAATACGTATAGTCTATAATTAAAAAGAAAGAGTGAGCAAAAAAAAAGAGACCAATCTGAGACACAATAAATAATTGGAAAGATGAGTGTAATTAGCAACAGAAGTGTGGTTTCTAAAAAAAATAATAAAGCCATGCAAAATTATAGGCGGTGTATGGGAGGTTGGTTAATTTAATGAGTTATTTTAATTTTTGGTTAGTTTAGTAGATTAAAATAATTATGTTTAGCAAAATTGTTAATTTTTTTTATAATTAGATATGATGTATATGAGGAAAAAAAAATATAAAATAATTATGAATTTGATATTATTTTAACTTATTTTGTCTTTTAATATAGTTTTAATCAAAAAAAATATTTAAATACATATGGCTCAAAAAAATATTTGAGGTGACATTGTTTAAATACATTATATATATATATATATATATGAGAATTTGAGGAAAAAAATGAGAAAAAATGTCACCTCAAACGTTCTGACTTTTAGCAATGAATTTGATAAATTATATTTTAACTTAAACGAACTGCCATAGTATGATATCTGTTGAAGCCATGGCCGGCGGTGGTGTTGCCGTAGATGGTGGCGGAAGTCTTATGTGTGGAGTTTTTTGTAGCAGTGAAATTATTATCATTTTGAATTGATTTTTTTTGTAAAGGATGTGATACCAATATTAATAATTTATGTTAATTGATTTTTGTAAAATATGTGTACCAATATTATTTACACCGTGCCTTCAGGCACGGGCATACGCTAGTATATATATATATATATACATCATCTAATATTTAACTCAAAAAATCAATAGAAGTAAGAGACAGCAATGATAAATCAAGAAGCGAATTAAGAGTGAAGTTCAGGGATCGAGACCGACCGATTCAAAGCATGAGATTTCGACCGAGACAGACTCCGAAGACGGCTTCAGCGGCGGTGTAGCGGAAGAGACATCCAAGAAGTTCTGAACATTGAGATCGAGAATAGAGATGCTCTGTTCGATAATAGCAAACATACAAAATGCTATTGTTCGAAAATCAAGTGTCGAACGAATGTTAAATGTTTAGGGTTTGAAAATCCAGTGTCGAACAGGAAAATGATTCATTCAAATACAAATTTCATGACAATAGAAAAAAGTACATAAAATCCTAAAATCTAAGTCAAATTAGAACTCACCTACTAAATCTCTAATGTGAAGTTGTTTCCAACTGTGTTGAGCACCACCGATGACGTCTTTGATAAGAAAACCAGTGTTTTGAGCAATGATGTTCACCAGTTTGAACAGAGAATGGTGGGGGAGATGAATATCGTGGGTGAGGGGTGTGTGAGCGAGTGAGGGTAAAAATGGAAGTTTGTGGGTATATTGCGGTGGGTGGGGTGTGTAAGTAAGGGTAAATATGCAAATTTGTGGTTTGTATTGAACAAAATATTTATTTACCAAATTATTAAAGGTGTGCCTTCAGAAGTGGTTTGTTTTGAGATAAATTATGGTGTGTAAATAGAGACAAAGGTTTAGTTTTTTTAATTTTCAAGATGCAAAATTATTATTCAAGTTTTTATGATGAAATTGTATTCCAATTAGGCTTCTAGCACACCTGACTATTTTGAGACTAAAGCCAAGTTTGGCATATTGTAAAGAAGCTAAAAAGTTAAAAAGTTACTCAAAAAGTTAAAAAGTTAACACTATTCACCAAAAGTCAACAATTACGGCTGCACAACTCCTAATCCTAATTTTCTCCTACAAATCAATTTTTTACAATTTTTTATTACACATTTTTTCATAAAAAGTCAAAAAGTTAACCCAAACATCCATATTTTCTTCTTCAATTTTTTAGTCCAAAAAGACAAAAAGTGCACTTATTTAGAACACCCCAAACAAATCTATAAAAATGTCATTTTATTTAGAATATTCTAACATTTTTATTTGATCCAGTACAAATATAGAAGAAAACAACACAGTGCTTCATTTTTTGACTCAGAGAAATACTACGTAATTTTATTATTATTATTATTATTATTTGGGGAAATTACCACACAGTTGTACTCCCAAAAAATTACAAATTTAAACTGAATTGAAATTTTTCCTTATTTTTTTGAGTTCTACCAATTACTAGGGGTACTTGCTTAATAAAACTATACATATATATGTGAGGAGATGTAGTGTTTGTAACAGGATTACACAAAGAAATAACCATTTGAACAAGGGAAAATCATAATTTTCACAAGCAAAAGCCTAACAGGCATAGGCTTAAAATTTTCTACCTAAAATTAGATGGTTACCATATACACAAGGCAATGGAACATCAAAATTCATGCGTTGTAAAAGCTTGCAAATGTTTTAAATGTTATCCATGCATAGTCATATTATATTTCTTTTTGATTATGATTGTGATTGTGATTGTGGTAGTCCATTACATAGGCAGTATCCTGCTGATGCATATATATTAGCCATTTCTACATACGGAGCTGCAGCCTGGGGTTCCAGATCAAAAAGGCGGTGGGCTGCATACTCACCCATCTCTATGTTGTTGTGATTCTTGCAAGCCGCAAGCAATGCACCCCAGATTCCAGCATCAGGTTTGACATTCATTTTCTGAATAAACTCCAACGCTTCTTTTAGCTTTCCTCTGCGTCCAAGAAGATCAACCATGCAGGAATGGTGATCTAATTCGGGATGTATTTTATGCACTTTAGTCATCAGATCAAAACACTCCCTTCCTTTATCAAGCAAACCAGCATGAGTGCAAGCCTGAAGAACAGCAAGGAACGTTATATGATTTGGTTTCAGTCCCAAGTCCAACATCACACTGAAAAGGTCCAAAGCTTCCTTAAATTCTCCATTTAGAGCACAACCCGCAATCATAGTTGTCCAAGAGACAATGGTTCTCTCTGGCATGATACAAAACAGTTCCCGAGCATCTCTTATACTTCCACATTTTGCATACATATCTATCAATGCATTGCACACCATAACATTATTTTTCAACCCATTTGACATGGCATAATTGTCAATCCATCTTCCAGTCTCAAGTGCTCCTGTTTGGCCACAACTTGAGATGATATAAAGCAAAGTGACACAATCAGGTGTCTGACCAGCTGCTTGCATAGAGTGGAACAATGCCAATGCCTCTTCCAAATCACCTTTCTCGGCATACCCACCAATAATGGCAGTCCATGAAACACAAGTTCTATCTCTGTCCATCATGCTATCAAATACATATCGTGCAGAATCAATATCTCCACACTTGGAGTACATGGAAATAAGGGTATTAAGTACAGAAACATTCAAATCACACCCTACTTGAATACCATGACAATGGATCGATTTACCCCGATATAATGATTCTGTTTTCACACATGAAGAAAGCAAGCTAAGAATGGTGCTCACATCGGGCCTGAATCCATCAGAAAGCATGCATTTATACAAGCAAATTGCCTTGAGCGAATCCACAAGATAGGAATATCCTGAAAGCATAGAATTCCATGAAACCACGGTCCTCAAACCATCATCAATATCACCAAATACCACTTCCGCCATGTACAAGCCCAATTCACCACCACATTTGGAATATGCAGCAATCCAAGTGTTAGCAACTGAAACATCAGTTTCAACCCCAATCCGAATTCCAAAACAATGAATGGCATTTACCAACTTGAGATCCTTGGTAACGGAACTCAACCGTGTCAACCCCATAACGGTGACTGAATCAGGGCGAATCCCATGATCGAGTCTCATCATTTGATAGAAAAGAATAGCAAACTTATCAACAAGACCCAGTTGAGCAAACCCAACAAGCATTGCATTCCAGGAAGTAACATCCCTCTCAGACATTCTCTCGAACAGGTTATAAGCATAATCTAAGCGGTTGCATTTAACATACATGTCAACTAACGAAGTCTGCACGTACATATCGGAGTGAAATGGTGATTTCAAGACATGGGTGTGAAAGACTTGGGAGTAGCGGAGACTGGACAACTTCCCACAGGCTTTTGCTAACAAGGGAAAAATCAGATGGATTGGTTGTAAACCGTTGTTGTTGTTGAGCTTCATTTGGCGGAAGAGAACAAGTGCCTTGAGAGCCTGACCTTGGTTTACAGCTTCTCTTATGGTGGAATTCCAATAACCAATGGTCGACGACGACAACGACAAATTTGAAAAACGCCTCAAAATAGGAGTCATATGGTTAAAGTCATATATAAGTAGTCTTGGTAGGAAGGACTACGGTTCGATTCCCCGCATCACCAATTGGGAGGGGCTTTGAGTCTAACCATCCAAAACTACGCCCCGAATCCGGATTAGTCGGCCCGAAGGGTCGGATACCGGATGGCTAGGACCTAAAAAAAAAATATATATATAAGTAGTATTATTTTTGGTAACTGGATCCTCTGTCCAGTTTTTCTGTTGGGAGATCCAGTGGAACTTTGAACAAAAATGGACACCTCATTATGCAGAGATCTAATGGCTGAAGAGAGGCATAGTATTATAAAAGCAATGGAAGGCAGAAGAAGAGGAAATCATCAACAACCAGCAAATCAACTTACCATAGATTAGTTAAGATACGAGTAGTTCATCTTAGGAGTTTTTTTAAACCTTGTAATTTCATATTGATCCCTGTAAACTTTTGAAGTCTTTTAATGGAATTTTCCTTTGTTTACTTTTTCTTCTCGCCATTGTTCTACAGAAATTCTTGAATCTTTCATAGGAATTCTTGATGAGAGGTTACATAAGAATTCTTCTACTCCTAAGTGTACCATGAAAGTGGATATCATGAAGGGCTTATGAGAATGTGAGGTGGGATTCCATGATTGATGTCCTGAGGGCTATGTGTTTCCCTCCTTGCTTTATCCACTGGATCCGGGCTTGTATGACTAGCCCTTTTTTTTTCCATCTGTATCAATGGGAGTCTGCAGGGATATTTTAAAGGGGCTAGGGTCTTAGACAAGGGGTTCTTATGTCCCCTGCCTTTTTGTGTTAGCTATGGAAATCCTCTCTAGGATCATGCATGAAAAGTCTTCTCACCCTTGCTTTAAATTTCATTGGAGGTGTGCAAAGACTAAAATTGTTAACCTCTGTTTTGCAAATGATCTTATGACCTTCTGTAAGGGGGATACCTTCACTGTCCGGGCTATTAAGGAGGGCCTTGTCGAATTCCAAGCCCTCTCGGGTCTCTCTCCTAGCCCCAACAAGAACCATGTCTTCTTCTTTGGGTGTGAGAAGAACTTAAGGGATGATATTATGAATATTTTGCAATTCCTTAAGGGTTTCATTCCTGTTAGATACCTTGGGGTCCCCCTCATTGCGTCTGAGCTTAAGACCTGTGATTGTAAGCAACTTGTTGAGAGAATTACTAAACGGATTAAGAGCTGGACCAACAAATGTCTCTCATATGCTGGTAGATTGCAACTGATCTAATCCATCCTTTTCTCTATGCAAGTCTATTGGGCCTCTCTCTTTATACTTCCCAAAAAGGTTGTGAAAGAGATTGAGAGTCTATTTAGATCCTTTCTTTGGTCTGGGAGTGATCTTAAGAAGCATAGGGCTAGGGTCTCTTAGGATAAGGTTTGTTTCCCTAAGAAGGAGGGGGGCTTAGGTCTCAAATCTATGGATGTGTGGAATAGGGCTATTATTGCTAAGCGTGTCTAGTTCTTGTTTTCTGGGGGTGAGTAATCTATGTGGTATCAATGGGTCAAATCTTATTTGTTAAAGGGTAAAAGTTTCTGGCAAATCAAAGTGCCATCAGACTCCTCTTGGGTTTGGAGGAAAATCTTAGGGCTTAGACCTATTATTTATCCTCACATGAAGTATATTGTTGAGGATGGTCAGAGGATTTTCCTTTGGTATGACAATTGGCACCCCCTTGGCTCTCTTTGGGCTAAATTTGGAGATAGGATCATGTATAATTCTTCTTTTAATAGGGAGTCTAAGGTTAGTAGGATTATTTCCAATCTCTCTTGGAAGTGGCCTTTTTTCCTTACAACGGATATCTGTGAGCTAATTCAGTCCACTCCTCATACTCTTATCCCTGGCAGTGGGCCTGATAAGCTTATTTGGGTCATCTTCTAATGGGGAATTTTCTATCAAATCTGTTTGGAATGCTTGGAGGCTCTCTTTTGATAAGGTCCTTTGGTCTGATTTGTTATGGAATGTTGTGTCTATCCCTAAGGCAAGTTTTATTACTTGGCTGGCCATTCAAAATAGACCTGACACTGGGGATAGACTTAAGTTTTTTGGCATTTCCCCTGTTGCTACTTGTCATTTGTGCCAATATCATACTGAGAACCATTCCCATTTGTTTTTTTATTGTCCTTTATCTGAGAGAGTTTGGCTAAATGTGAAAGATAAATTAAATATGGCTTGGCCTGTGATGCAATGGCCTGACCTAGTTTCTCATATTAGCAAAACTGTTAAAGGTAAGTCTCTTGGTTCCATAATTTCTAGGCTTGCTTTCACCTGCTCTGTCTATCTTATTTGGCTTAAAAGGAATAATAGAATTTTCACCACAGAGAAAAACCCTGAAGAAGTTGTTGCCTTGAATATTTTTAATATGATCAGGTTCAGGGTCTTGTCACTTAAATTTTTTCAAGAGAAATCCAAATGATGCATGGTTCTTGTCCATCTAGAGATTGCCAGATTCTATTCTCAAAACAGTCCCCTCACTGTGATATATTGTATACATGTTTCTAATTTTTGCAGGTGGGGGTATCCTTGAAAGTGGCCTTTCCAAGACTTTGTGTGTGGAGTGATGGGGAGGTTTTGTGGGTTGAGTGTGGTGAGATCTCTATATCCAGGGTTGAGTGACTGTAAGCTACTAAATAGTTTTCCTTAACTGTTTGTTTGTAGGTTGTCAAGCTGGCCTATTCTTAGGGAAAGTGGATTGAGTGTTTGTGAGATCTAAATTAGGCAGTGGAGGTTTGTGAGCTTGAGGGTTGAGTGATGTGAGTTCCAGTTATATTCTGTTTCTAACTGTTGTGCCTACAGGTGACAAAGCTGGTACTTTTGTGAGGGAGTTGTTTGTTGAAGGTTGAGTGAGGAGAGATCTACATTCTTGGAGAGCTTTTTGCTTCATTTTTCTTCTCCTCTATGCTAAGCTATTTTTATTCTTCGCTGAGCTTGAGTGCCTATATGTGGGTTGAGATTGTGAGGTCACATAAAGTGAGTCTTGATATAGATCTGTGCACAGTTTCTTGTAGGGTCTGTTTGAAGGACTTCAAGAGGGCCAGGCTGCATATATGCGCCAGCCCTTTTAGCTATTGTTAAATAGGATTGTTGATGTCTTTTTCTTTCTTTCTTTCTTCTTTTCTTTCTTTTTTTTTTTTTTTCCCTAATTTTGTACAGATCTGTGTCTGCAATCTGTTGCTGCTAGCCTGTGCTGATTTGTCTGCAATCTATGTCTGCTATCTGTCTGCTGCAAGCTGTGAAAAACGAGTTTAGATTTGCTCTGTAAATCCTTGGGTTTTGTTGATGCATGGTTACACCTGTTGGAAACTCTTGCTGTCAACATATTCCTTTTGCCTTGGTTTGTTGAACTTTGGAAGCACTATAACAGGTTGTATGGCTGCTGGAAGCACCTGAGGAGTGAAGAAATTTGCATTTTCCTTACTTTGTATATTGTCTAGTTTTATGTGACTTGTGTCATTATCTTGTTTGGCCCTAACCTTGCAGGGTGTGCAAGGGATTTTAGTTTTGTGGACTGCATCCTGATGATGCTGTCTGTTTATTTTTTGATTATTCTAGGTTGATATCATAGTGGACTGGTGCTAGTCATTCTTTATTTCTAGTTTTAGCTCTGTCCAAGTTTGTTATCCTGGTTTTGTTTTGCATTGTTGCTGTCCGTTTTTATTTTTTCTTGGTGTTGTATTGTCTTCAGTAGGGCCTGGGATATGCCCCTTGTAGTTGTGTTTGTTTCTTATTTTTATTTTATGACTTACTTACCCCCCCCAAAAAAAAAAAAGCCCCAACACAATTACCTGATTTCCTTTTGTTGTTTGGTAAAATTATTGTTAACCCCTGTTGATTGGGCTTTAACACAAATTTTGCTAACATGAATAATCTTTCCTTGATCATCATTGCCACAAATTTTGCTAACAAAGGCCTTTGTATATATTTTTAAAAAAAAAAAATTAAATACATCAAATTAAATCGATCCGATAATCGTTATATTTGCCTACAAAAAATAAATAATTTATTTTCAAAAATATACTTACCCAATTTTGTAGAGATTGAAGTGATAAAATAAAAAAATTACAATTATCAAATCCATTTTAATATTTTTATGTATGATATTCATTGAGAAATTACAAAATAAACGATTCAAATTATCAAAACAAGATCATGATTGGCCCAAGTCCCTCAAGTTCTCTCAACTTGAGATGTGAACTTGACAGAAACACAACCCATTACAAAACTACTAAACATGTTTAAAATGTACCATATCAAACTAATTTTTCAACTATAACCATGTGCTAAACTGCAAAAGGTGTATTTAAAATTAAAATAAAAAAAATAAAAATAACTACTGACCAATTCACTGATGATTTCGCATTATCAATTTCCCCAATAATGCAATGAATTTGTGTAAGAACCAAACAGCTAATATGTAGGTGCATTCCCATACAAATGAGAGAACACGTGGCAATTGCATGAATTTGTGTAAGAACCAAACAGACAATATGTAAGGTGCATTCCCATACAAATGAGAGAACACTTGTTGCCATAATGATCAAGGAAAGATTATTCATGCAGTTCATGCTCATAACACCACCTGGTTAAAATTAAGCATGATCAAATTATTTGGAACTGTGACTTCTAACCCCATATTTCATTTCAAGCCATTCACCAACTGAATGAATAAAAAAATCTTCATGACAACTAATTGCACTTCATTCATTCTCGACCTATCCATCTATCATCAAGATCCATGAGAGAAGAGAAGAGAAGAGAAGAGGTGAGGTCAGTTACACAAATGGGCTGCTGCAATTACAGATAGAGATACCCACCCCCATCACTGTTATCTTGCATGCAATGCGATGCGATGCATTCTGGGGAATTAAAACTGTAATAAGCCAAAAATAAAAATTAAACAAACTGCCAACTCTTTTTTGAGTGAGTACAAATTGCCAACTCAACATGTCAATAAATCCATCTCCATTTGCACATAATAAGAACTTTTTTCAAGCTCTTTTTTTGACAAATATTCTTCAAACTGCATCTTTAAACTTGGCGTCGTATTCATATGGTTGCTGCATCATATAAAAGCATTATATCGTTATAAGGTGCAATATTGCAGCATAAGATGCACATTAGCACAAAAGTGGAGCAGGGGCAGGGGCAAAATTCAAAGAGAAAAAATTGGCTACAAAATATAAGTAGGTCAATTATGGATATTGTTTTGGAAGTTGTTAAGGCCACCTCTAGGAAGTCTACCAAACATGGAACTTGCTTTATGAGGTGCAAAGGTGCAATTGGACCAGCTAGATTTGATCTAGGGGGACAAATTGTGGACAGCAGAAAGCCTTTAAAGAACACAAGGAAGACAAAGTCGTATGCCCCAAAATATATTCAAGTAAAACAATATCACTAAGAAAGAATTCCAGCCAGAGGCTGTGCCTCTTCAGTTTAAAAAAATGTTCCCAAAACACTCCATAAAAATACTAGGAATTTAGACTCCGTAAAATTCAAACTTAACCCAATTCCTTCCATTCTCTCTTGACCGTGATTTCCCAGTCGTGCTAGATTTACATTGAGGTGGCTGGGCTAAAAAGATACACATTTCGTGAACGGAACTCATCTGTTTGGTTGAGTTCAAAACTTGTTTTCTTAAATTTTACTGAAATATTAAAAAATAGTTTGACAAAAAATAAACACCCAAAACAAAATATTTTTGAATTTTAAAAAAAAACTCCTGCCCCGGGAAAGAGAATCAAATGAAAATAATAAAAAAAAAATTCCAGTTTTTTCACCAACCTAGTTTTTAAAAAAATTTCAAAAAACAGATTCTGAAAACTCAACCAAACTATAAAATCCTTGGATTGAAGCAAAAAGAACCCTCACAAGGGTCCAAATACATACCAAGAACACGGCTGAGATCAACCTCCGTGCAAACCATCTATTATGCATTGCTCGTTGGGCAATTGCTGCTGCTTCAACAGTTTCAAACCGCAGATACACATAACCAGCACTGTTCCTGCAAGTAGGATTCACTAAGATTTAACTTCTACTGATAACATTTCAACCAGAATGGGGCAAATAAAGAGACCAACTGTCATATCAACCCAAATCAAGAGTCTCAAATAGATTGCAACCAGATTTGGTCATTATAACCAAGGCAGAATCAAGAATGTACAATTGTCATTTTGATAGATCAAAAATGAAATTAATCCAAGAAGTACCAGGAAGGACTGCACCAACATGCTGGTAGACAAAAGGAAGGAGAGATTTGTAAGTGTTCAACTTCAGTTCTAAAGAAAGTAATGAAAGTAGAGTAATAAATAATGCACACTACTTCCAAAACTAATTTGCAAACATACAAATATCTTAGGTGCAATGATAAGATTGTGTTATTCGTTAATTTGCAAACATACAAACATATCCTGATTACATTGTGCTATTCGTGAAATCAAAAATGCATAAAGATTATGACGCAACGTAGAAACGTGAACGTGAACAACAGTAGAATCGCACAACAAAGAAAGTTGCAACCCTTCTACAATCTGTTAAATCCGAAGATCACCAGAATTATAAAACTATATATTATTAATCAAAACAGAATTGCTCTAAGGCTTACAACTGGTATTTATAATAGAAGAGAATTCCTAAAACAACTAGAACTAAAAGGGAAATAAAAAACTAGGAAATAAAAATATTTATTGTAAGTAAACAACCCTAATTCTTTTAGGACAAAACGAAATAGGAAACCTAAATAAACAAAAAAAATTAAAGATCATAGTCTTAAATAATAATCCTAATCAAATATTAAAATAATAAAGATAAAATATACAATTATTAAAATTCCCATTTGCATCAGATTAGGCAAAGGAAACCCACTTCCCAGATTCAGTAGTAGTTATTGATAATTTACAACAGGCATTTTGTTCCGTAAGTGCAGGCAAGATACAAATGATTTTCAATTTTTTTTACTACCACACATACTAATCCTATACCTAAAGACAAAATAAAGGCTCAAGGAAATTGGTTCTAGCAAAAAAGAGATTATACCCTCAAACAACAATGATTACATTGGAAGCTTGAGTGTGTTAACCCCTTGTAAATGATTCGTGTATTACCCCGCCATACAAAATATAACTTCCCCATTTGACTTTGGGAAAATTTTCATTGAATGTAAAATTTTCTTCAAAACAAAATAAACAAAATTTTTAAATCTTTTTCAGATGCCTTGTCCTGCTAATCTCTAGAAAATGAATAAGCATAACTGATTTTTTTTTTTTTTGACAAGTTAAATAGACCGACAATGATATTTATTAATATTACTGGGTATTTAACTCTTCATGTCCCATAAAAGAATTGAATATCAAATGAGACTCCCAATCTCACATCATAACCAGCAATCTTTCCGATGAGGCTAACAATAAGGAAGAATTCATAGTACACAATTTCCACTATAGCATCCATAGACATTAGTAAATGTAATGCAATAGAAGGTGAAGACAGACAGCATTGCAATGTCCTATATTTATTATACTTGCAACATGATAATTTTGTTCCACATTTGACCAGCAGATTAGTATGGGATGCAATCATATTATACTGGTCCATCTTACGTAGTTCATGGGATTAAAAATTACCTACACCAATTAACTACTCATTATTACAAATAATTGACTACTAAGTACATATTATTCATATTAGGATAATAACTTCATATAATCAGCCTGGTAGCGGGTAACTCTTCGTGCAATTATGATAAAAAGCCCTAAATGTTGTTTTCTATTATCCCGACAATGGGAATACAGTATCCCAATATTAGAATTTCAACCCAAACATCCTGGTTTCATTTTTGTGTGTAAAATGAAGTTGAATTCTAGAAAAATATTGTAGCACCAGAATTCTCTTCCAAACAAAGAGATCTTGGCATTAACACACATGGCACATTGATCTTTAAAGCAGCACACATGACAGAAAATTGAAATATCTTTAAAATTATTCTATACAAGAGATGCATTTGAGCAAATAATTATGATTCTCATGTAACAAAGCAGGGATACATTAAAAAATACAAACAGGACACTTGACAACAAATGAATTATTACAATAAACCGTTTGGCTTACTTGTCGACATAGATATGCTTCACACGACCATAATTCGAACATTCTTCTTGCACGTCCTCCGTAATGTCCAAATCAAAGTCTGGTTCAGTCTGTAACACAGTTTCAAAGATGAATACTTTCCATACAATAGAGAACTGGAAAGTTTTGGGAAAAAGAAATAAAACACCACAGAGAATACACACACCTCAGTTGCTGGATCGAACATATTCTTCAAGAGTAAACACTCGCTGGGCTTACCGATAGGCTCTGAGGCCAAAGAAGTCACAAGTGCAGGAAGAGCTGGAGCAAGAACTGCAGATTGCCCATCGATAGGCAAGGTGATGGCTTGTTGATTTGAAGTTGCACCATTAAGCACTGGCACTCCAAGAGACCCCGCAACACTACAGGAAGGATTACATTTAAGTGTATGCTATGGTTGGCGGGAAACCTAAAGGATGGATAATGGTAAATAGACCAACCTGGTGGCAGTACCACTGCGATCCAGCTTCTGCATAAGCAATGCTCTTGATTGAGCATTTAGAGACTGTATGGGAATTATACCATATGTCAGCCAAGTACTGTTTCTGAGGAAAATTGTGCAGCAAAAGAAAACATATAGTTTTTCTGTAATAAATTCTTTTTTTCTTTTCCTGGCTATACTTTTGACCATTAGGAGTGCGATGAATAAAGATTTACAAGACTTTTGCCACTTCGTTAACGAAGTTTGTTATTAGTACTTGATTATAGTATATCTACGCTTTTTATACTAAATATCATTCTTCACCAATATTTCTCTCCCATTACTTTCCATAAATTCTATAACTTTTCATCAACCTTTCTAATTTATAAACCAACAAAGTCTATGATCCCTTTCTTTATTTTTTTATTTTTTGAAGGATTAATTTGACTTTCTACCCTTGAACTATCAATTGAAAAATCTACTTAATCCCTAAACTATCGATTGAATCTTATTAAATTCAAGAACTTTTCATCCACCTTTATAATTCATGAGTAATGATACATCCCTCTAATTTAGAAGCTCTAATTGAGCTCTAATGATGTGGCAAGAAATAAAAAAAAATAAAAATAAATAAAACCAAGGCCAAACATCACATCACAGTGGGGCCCACTCCCATTAGAGCTCATTCGAGCTTTCTTTATTAGAGCTCTCAATCATTTTTCATAATTCATAACCCAACAAGCTGTCTATGATCCCTTTCTTTTTTTTGTTTCCTTTTCTTTTCTTTTCTTTTCTTTTTTTTCTTTTTTTTTTTGAAGGGTTAATTTCACTTTCTACCCCTGAACTGTTGTCAAATTATCTATTTCATCCATGAGCTATTGATTGAGTTTATTAAGCCCCTAAAGTGTATAAACCAAAGTCTATTTAATTCCTAAACTATCAATTGAATCTATTAAGTTCCTAAAATATTTAATTCAAATCTATTTAGTCTCTCAAAAGGATCATAAAAATGAAATATAAGTCCATAAATATTATAAATTAATAAAAGACCCTATCTAATTAAGATTTTATTATGACTTTAAATGTGTTTTGTTTTGTTATGTGCTATGTTATATGGAACGTGGATCGTTCTAGAACGTGGAACTAGAACGGGGAATAGGGAATGGAGAACAGGAAACGGGAAACGTCACATGCTCTAAAATGTAGTATAATAAGGATAGACTTCTATTGACTACACTCACAAATTTAAGGTACTTCTAAAATAATTTTCTTTTTAACTATTAAACATCCAATAAAATGTCTTTTTTATTTTAATGTAGCAAAACATTTCTATGAGCATTCTGACTCATTTTTTATGATGTCTTGTAAAACTTAACTCACTTAGATTTTAGTTCATTATATTTGATTTTTCTCCTCTTAAGAAAACATTTAAAGAAATATTTTGGAAAAAAACTTTTGGGATTGCTTTAGATCACTAAGTTTACCATTTTGGAACAAAAGTGTACCACGTTTTGGAACATGCGTACCAATATGTAATTCGCTAGGTTCTATGAAGTACGGGTACTTCAAATAGGGTAACATATCCATATCGGATACTTAATTTTGAAGTATCAAATACTCCAAGTCATGTTTACTTGTTTTATGAAATTAGAATTGTAACATTTCTTGCATAGTAATGTAATATAATATAATATAATTGCAAGTATAAATATAAGAATATTTTTCTAATACTTTGTTAAGTTCTTTGATAAGAAGAGCATAGTGAGTTAAATAATATAATTTATTAAATTGATGTATCCTAATTATTTCATGCATGTCCCCTACAACTACATAGAAAGTAAGAATTAACAAGAGAATATAACAATGTTAAAATTAAATATCAATAAATAAATAAGCAAGTAAACTTTGAATACAATATTTTTCACTAGTGTCAAAGGAAAAAAGCATAGGAACAAGTTGTGAATTGTTCTATTATTGTAATATAAATATACTAAATTTGATATTGAAATGAAATATTTGCAAGGCCTATTAAAAATTTAAAAAGTAAACAAACTACTAGCTTAAATTAATACAAAATTCTTAAAGGTTAGTATTTTGTATTATAAAATTACATTGTGGTTTCTCAACGTTCTTTAGCTTATGTGTCACTATTAATAATTTTAAAAAATATATTTTTTACAAACGTATCCTAGCCGTACCGGTATCCTATTTTTTTAAGTTTTGTCGTATCGTCATTTCCGTTTCGTGTCATATCCGTATCTCGTATCCGTATCTATGCTTCCTAGGCTAGGTTATTAGTATTTTCTTCTGGTAACACAAGTTCTATGTTTAAATTGGTAATAGAGTCTAGTTTCTTAGCCTTGCCAATCATATCATGTAAGTATTAGATATACTGAAGTAGTAGAAACAAATAATTAAAATAATAGCACTTCTCCACAAATAAAACAAAATAATACATTAATTAGGTTTTTAAAAGAACTTAATGAAAAACTTAAAAGATAGTTAATTAGAAATTACAAACGAAATTCAACATATATACTAGATAAAGGCAAGCAACTAGCTACTGTAGAAGATAAGCAAGAAAATACTATAGATAATTACCCTTATCTTTGTAAAGGAAATTCACTAGAAGAATTGGCGCTTACTTTTTGAAGACAATAGAAATTTAAAGTTTTTCTGAAATAAAATCGTAACTAGGTAGGGTCTTTTACTTTAATCATACTTATGGGTTTATATTTTATTTTTGTAATACTTTCAAAAACTAAATAGTTTTGAATTAAATACTTTAGAGACTTTAGAGACTTAATAGATTCAATCGATAGTTCAACGACTAAGTAAACTTTGATTTATATACTTTCAGGGCTTAATAGACTCAATCGATAGTTCAGGGACTAAGTAAACAATTTGGCAACAATTCAGGGGTAGAAAGTGAAATTAACCCCTTTTTTTAAAAGTCAAACATTCTAGGACTTTAACCCACCATAAAAACCTAATCACATATCACACGACCAACTTCTTAAACGATGTCTGACGCAAGCGAAAAAAATATTGTAAAACCATATGCCATGTTCCAATTGCTATACATCTGCCGCCCATGGAACAAACCATAAAAGTTGTGCCTTGGCAACCAAATTATCATGCCAACTTTTTCTGAGTGTAAAAACTTTCAATATGTTTAGTTCCAGTCTTTATTGATTATATAATGTCAAAATTGGACTCACCAAACCACCCCCATCATCATCATCAAAGTCAGCTGCTTTGGCTCCTGAATCTTGCACTCCAACATGATCTGTAACTGATGAAACCTGCAAATGAATGTAGAAAATCAGTCATAAAAATTAACATTAGCCCTCAAAAGAATATATCCAGTCACGGTGGCATAAATACAAAGAAATGACAAACAATGTAACCATTGTGTTGTAATCACATAAGTTCATAACTTCATAATTACCAAATCTGAAGAACCAATAAGTACAAGACTACCTTGATAATTCGACCTGCAATCTCCAATTTTCCATTCAAACTTTGAGCTGCCTTTGCATGTTCCAGTTGAGCGAACTACAATATAACAGTGAAGAAGTAAATCTTACCAAAAACCAATCAGCTTGCTTGGTTCCATTTTTTCAAAAACACTTTCTAGAAAGTTTTACTTTCTTATTTTCTGTATTTTTTTGTTTTTACTGAATTTTTTTAATATTTTAAGCAATTTTTTTACTTTTTAGACACACCTAACATAAATACACCTAAAAAATAAAAAAATTGTGAAAAAAATCTTTTAAAAATTCACTAAATACCAAAAATATATAAAAAAATACAAGAATTCAGTACATTTTTTGTATTTTTATGTATTTATTAATTTTTTAAAATATTTTTTCACAAATTTTTTACTTTTTAGATACATCTAAGTAAGGTGCATCTAAAAAAATAAAAAAAAAATATTTAAAATTTTAAAAATATTCACTAAAAACAAAAAACAAAAAAAATACGAAAACCAAAAAACTCAATTTTCAAAAAACTTAATCCAAAAAACTCAAATCAAACACACTGAATACTAACATAAATACCATCTACTAACAACAAGCTATTTTTAATACAGTCAACATGAAGTTGTACTAACCTGAATAAACCCAAAACCTTTGCAGTGTCCTGTCTCAGGGTCAGTAGGTAGTTGCACAAGCTCCACGGGCCCAAAAGCTTCAAAAATCTGACAAGTCCCCATGAAGGACACCAATTTGTTACAAAAAGAAGTTACTTTGTACAAAAATTAATAGATTAGTATTCAAAAGTTCACTACGGTGAAGGGAAAAAAATCCAGTGGTATACAAACCCATTGAAATTCCCTTAATTGTAGAATCTTCACGCAAGAAAAGTACAGGGCAGGTCTGAGCAAAAAAACCACAAACGAGACCGATCCAAACCAAACCACACAGTTTGGTTTGGTTTTCTCAATGCATTCGGTCCTAGTTCTTAAAATAGGCAAACCGTATTTATGGTTCAATCCGTCATTTTATAGTCACGGTTCCAATTTGGAATCGAACTGAACCGTTTAGATATGTACACATAAATATTATATAATTTGTTATTTATAGTACACTTAAGCACCTTGTTAGTATCCCATATATATTCATAAGTTGTTAATCCTACTCCTTTTTTTTATTTTTTTATTTTTTATTTTTTTTTTTATCAACAACAAAATCAATTGATAAATCAAAAAGAGAGTCGAGGATAAATCAAAATTAATTCTACTCTTACAAATGTGCTCTTGTATAATTGTAGAACTAGTTCTAAACAATTATTTGCTTGTAAAATGATGGCATATTATTTAATATTTGACCACGTTGTGATCATATTGTGAACGATGACAAGGTTTATAAAAATTGTGGTTCCAAACTGAACCAAACCGTGTTTTCATAGTTCAGTTTGATTCCAAGATTTTCATAGTTTGTTCGGTTCCAAATTTCATGGAACCGTAGGTAGCTGTTGTTTGGTCTTGGTTTACATCAAAACCGGTCCAACCGGGTTCTGAAAAGTACAGAATAGATACTTATCCCATGGTTGCAAAAATGAGGCTTACATATTACAGAATGATCTAGCAAAACGAGTTGTTCAAGCACCAAAAAATACAACTTCTGAACACACGTTCTCAGGGAAGAATAAAAAACATACAGAAAAGTAAGATCGAGCATTCCCGAGAGTTCATGTGACAAAAAAATGACTGCCTCGAAGCAACAAAAAGTTGTCTACCAAATCTTAAACTCTCCAAAGTCACCTTGGCTAAAGCTATCAGTAACTACAAGCTTAGCAGCTATGATTAGCAGCTCCAAATCAGCAGCTATGATTGGCAACTCCAAATTAGCAATTACGGCTACTCATTGCCACAACCAGTGAGTTGATTTACTTACTCCTTTCCAACACAGTTTATCTCTATAAAAAGAAAAGCCCCTCAACAAGATAAGGACAACCAAAACCTGTTATAGTCTTGACTCCGATAATATCATTTTCCCCACTTCCAACGGTAACAAACTCTCACCCAAACAATGGCTTCCCGCCAACAAACCTCAAACCAAAGGCAGAGCAACAGGATCCCCTTTGACCCCCATGGTCCCCACGTAGTAGTCTATCAAAGCTTGGCAAAGCTAGAAAACCTCGATTGGGAAAGGATGGAGCACGCTCGCGCATAGTGCTGACTAATCACATATACGCCACAACTCCTATACCACATCTCCCAGGCAATTCCACACTGGTATCATACTACCCAGACAGTTCCCCAACGGCTTCCTAGCAATCCTGCAGAATCTCATGCACATAATAGACAGATGGCACTTCTCTCCCCCGCCACCAACGCCATTGATTTATTACCAGCACTTGGCAAGTACTCCTATCACCCTCAGCATGACGAGCTCAATTTACCTTCGAGAATAATTTTGTTCAATTGTTCTATGTGTCAAGTCTGCATGAAACTATGAGGCATGGAAACTTGCCTTTTATGGCTAGGGAAATTGGAGGCCAAATAGTACCAAGCAAGCATCATAGACCTCTCATCTTGGTCGTGGGCAGAGATGGACTGACAAAGGGGTTGGTAGAGGCAGTGTCACCCCAAACAAAAAAACTCATTAAATATTATAATATGGCCCATGTCCATGTTCGTGCTCATGCTTCTTAGCTAACAGTGACGGTAACTCAAAAAAAAGCATGCAGCACTGAGCATCGTTGCCCTAGGTCCTTATGGTACCCTCCATACATTGTTTACCCATTCTTAAAGCTCTACCTTCTTCGGCAATGACAAACCCAATCTGCCAAACCGACCCACTTGACAATTTCATATGAAAGACATTGTACACCGACAAGATCCCTCATCCACCTTCACTCATATTCTGTCCTCTGCAGCCCTTTCTTCACCCTCCCAAAAAGACTTTTGGCAGCCCATCCTTCAACTTGTAACCTCCCCACTGAACTCCTTGAGCATTTCCCCCACCACAAGCCAACCACCACCACCTACATCTCTGGATTCTTAAGCAAACTCTACCTCCCTTTCTCAATCAATGGCCACTTCCAAATATTTTCCTCACTTTACTGACAAGGCTTCGGCAAATGATTGCATCTGCCATCCATTCCAGGCCACCAAAATGTCCAGAACACCAACCCGACTACAGCTCCCTGTGAGACATCACACATCATCTAGTACAACCATCACAACTCAACCTGTGTTATCTTTATAAAACAGCTTGCTTGACTATTGTTGTCTTCGAGAACATAGATGGTATTTCCCTGGTCTTTGAAGATACTGTCTTACAACAGAAATACAGCACATTACTATATTTCTACATCATCTGTTAATAATCACTCACCATTAGTGCTGCTTCTAAGAGCTCATTTTTTTCTTTCATTTTTGTGGTTTATTTATTTAATTTCCCATCCATCGGATATGGCATTTTCCAGCAAATCTTACACCTTCTTCCTCCTTTAACAGCAATGGTAATATTTAAACAAGCTAAAATTGAAAACATTCAGAAGTGGAAGTCATATTACCTGTTTAAGCTGAAATTCTGTCATGTTGAAGTGTAAATTTCCCACATACAGTTTTCTATCAACTGCACCATAGGATCCCACGACTGAACCACCACCAGAAGCATTAGTTTGAACAAGGTTCTTTTCAGCTTCTGATGGTTTAACCATTACAGGTTGTCCGAAAAGTAGGTGGCCAGAGAGAGCTATAGCCATTGGCACAGACATTGCATCATAAAATTCAATATACCTGCAGTATCACCCAAGGACTCCCAATAAGCTTGCCAGAACATATGAGACAAAAATACAATTATAACTTACAAAGCATGTATCTACAGAAGGAAGGAAATCAAAAACTCTTTAAAGTGCATAGGTGCCGAGCTGAATTTCTTCTCTCTTATCTAAACCTCACAAAACAGAACATGTCAGCTAATCATGATAAAATACAAATTGAGATAATCAAACATGTCAGTGATTCACAAAAAAAAAAAAAAAAATTAAGAGACTCGGACAGAATAGGACAAAAACCAAGGGTTATGGCTACCCAAAAAAATCACATTAGGTCAATAAAATAACGTAACTTTGTCAGGCCAGATTAATAAGTCTGCAAAGCATGATAGCAGTCAACATTTTTCTACAAATTTCCTTCGTAATGGTCTGGAAGAATTTAACGACATGACCTCTAGAGTTGGGACATAGAAGCATGCAAAAGACCAAGTACTACCTTCTAACCACATAGGCAAATTAAAGAGTTTTACCAACTTCTTTACCAATCAACCAAAAAGGTAAAATCACCTTAAATCAACTAAACTAGATAAATTCCTAGGGAGTTTTTTCTCCAACCAGGAAAGGATTATATCAATCAACAAAATCTGCCTAGATCTGGGCTTGTAACATAAAGAAGCAGCAAACTTAATCGTGAATTGTGGAGAAACCACCTCAGGGCCAAAACCATCAATTGACAGCACTATATATCTTCCAACTCCCACAAGCAATATTGATGCCAGAACAAAGACAGATCAATGATCAAGACACTCATAAGAATTGTGCCATATTTATTCTTAAAGAATATCTGCCATGCCACCAAATAAACTCAACTAGATCTAATGTGAAACTCCAGTGCAGAGTTAGAAAAACTATAAATTGCAGGAATCGAACAAGGAGAACACAAATACTGTTTGGTTTTGTCATTTGATGAAAACAGTAATGGTATACAGTGGGAAAAGAAAAGGAAAGAACAGAAAAGAAAGGAGAAACTTAGGTTCATGTCATCTACCTTGAGAACGCAGCATGAATTGTTTAAACATGAGTGCAAGGTAATCCCACCATCCTTCATCATGGATTCATTATCGCAATGCTAGTGAATTTAAGAATAAAGTTATGTTTAATTTTTAAAAAGAATCAACAGTTACTTTCCGACGACACTGCACATAAATGAGATACTTTTTAGCAGAAACACACTTACCCAACTCCTTTCGAACGTCTTGAATTGCGGTCCATGATTAGACGAACGTCCCTCACCTAGATATGAAGCGGTGAATGATGTAACTAGAAAAAAGAAACTTGCAATAAACACAGATAATACATGTCATTTTGGACAATCATCTATAACAACACCTACTAGGGGGTGTTTCATGAGATCAACAGTTTTAACTTGTTTGTACATTTTCACTCACTCCACATACACAGAATGTTGACACAAGAAAGAAATTATGGGCTTGTTTGGTTTGTTTTTCAGAAAAATTTTTGGAAAAAATTCTCTACAAATAAATTTTCAAGAGTAATCAAACCAAACAAATTTTTTCAAAAAAAATCTCAAAATTTTGTTTGGTTACCTACTTTCCAAAATCAATCTCTCTCTCTCATACACATCAAATCAATCACTTTTTTTAAAACTCTCTTCCCAAAACAATTTTCCAAAACCATTTCTGAAAAAAGGCAAACCAAGCAAGTTTTCATACTTTTTATCTCAAAAACTACTCTACAAACACAAACCCCAAACACACCCTATATTACTCGTAACGGAAGGCAGAGGAGCATTTACTGCAACAGGAAAAAGATGTAGCGTAATGACATGTATTAATGTTCAAAGCAATGTCTCAAGTAACAAGAACATGAATTGATCCTATACATGTGCAGCAATGAAATATCCAAAGCATCAAATGGCATGCAATAAGAAAATACATAGAGCACAATGCCTACTATAGCATACGATAGTCTAAAAATAGATCGTTCAGATAATCCACAAAGCAAGAATATTAAAAATCCCACTAACCTTGCCTGCTTTTGAAAAAAACTCATAAACATCTCTCTCAGTTGCCTTCAGGGGCATCTGCCGACACCATATTCATACAAGAAAACAGGAATTAGCAAAAACCAAGTAGAAAGAGCAGTACAGGCATGTGAATACAAAGTGCAAACAAACAGAACCAGTAAATTTCCATTACCCAACTCCTTAAAATAGAAGACAAATATTATTCATCTACCTGGTATGCAAAAACAGTTCTCTGGTCCCTTTCTGGATCAGCTTCAGGCTCCACCGCTTCTTTCTTTTCTTTGAGTCTCCTGCCATTAAAATCGATTTCGACATAATAAGAAGGTATATGACAGAAAAGGCAGTTCACTACTTGCACAATCTTTTATGGATGTAACAAAAATAGGCCATGAACCAAACCAAACCAAACGAAGCCTTAAGTCCCATCAAATGGGATCGGCTACATGAATCCTTCTTATCCACGCCGCCCTATCAAAGGCCACTTCATTAGTCAAATTAAGTAGATTCATATCTCTATTTATAACGCTAGTCAACGTTAATCTAGGCCTACCCCGTCCCCTAATACTTCCATCTACCGTTACAGCATCGCATCTCTTCACTACTGCCTCTGTTGGTCTCCGTTGAATATGACCAAACCATCTCAAACTATTCTCTCTCAACTTATCTTCTATCGGTGCTACTCCTACCCATTCCCGAATACACTCATTCCTAATCCTGTCCTGTCTAGTCTTACCACACATCCACCTTAGCATTCTCATCTCAGCCACATTCATCTTATCTACATGTTGTTTCTTGGTTGCCCAACACTCCGTCCCATACAACATAGCTGGTCTAATAGCTGTTCTATAAAACTTACCTTTTAGTCTAGTGGGTATTCGTTTATCGCACAATACCCCAGACGCACTTCTCCACTTACACCATCCCGAAAATGTTAGGGGAGGGGAAGACCTAAACTGGCTTGGGATGTGACGGTAAAAAAAAGATATGAATTAATTTAATTTAGCTGAGCATATCGCTCTTGATAGAGTACAATGGCCAAAAAAGATTCATGTAGCCGGCCCCACTTGATTTAGACACAAGGCTTAGTTTGGTTTGGTTTGGTTATTATATTTGTTGTTTTTTAGCAAAATGTAGCCATGTTTGATCAGCTTCAACAGGAGTTTCGGACGTTACCTGGTTAATATGTTAATACTAGACCGCCTAAGATCATCACCATTGTTAACACAAACCACCTTATGTAGATGGCATTCCTTTGTCATCTTCTTCCATTGTTGACCTACCAGGCATAAACCCAAATTGATTCTCTGACACCTCTGTTATGTCTCGCAATCGGCGTTCCATCACCCTCTCCCACACTTTCATTATATGACACATTAGCTTAATTCCTCTATAGTTGTTACAATTCTGGACATCACCTTTATTCTTATAGATTGGTACTAAAATACTCTTCCTCCACTCATCTGGCATGTTCCTAGTCAACAAAATTTTGCTAAACAACCTAGTCAACCAAGCAACTCCCTTTTTACCCAAACACTTCCAAGCTTCAATAGGGATATCATCAGGTCCTAAAGCTTTATTTGATTTCATCTTCTTAAGTGCAATTTCCACTTCAAAGTTCCTAATCCTGCGATAGAACCTATAGTCTTGGTTTATCGTATTACTATCTATTTCTTCCCTTATTGTCGTACCTCCATGTTCCTCATTTAATAGTTTCTCAAAATAATTCTTCCATCTTTCCTTAATCTCATCATCCTTCACCAATACCTTAGAATCCTCACTCTTGATGCACTTTACTTGATTAAAATCTCTTGTTTTCCTCTCCCGTATCTTAGCAAGTTTGTATACCCTCTTCTCTCCCTCCTTACTATCTAGTTTAGTGTATAGGTCATCATAAACTTTTAACTTAATCTCTCTCACTACTTTCTTGACCTCCTTATTAGCCAATCTATAGCTCTTAAGGTTTTCCTCAGTTCTATCCTTCTGCCACTTTTTAAAGCACTCTTTTTTTGCCTTAACTACCGCTTGGACCTCTTCCCTCCACCACCAAGTTTCCCTAGAGCTGGGTCCCGTTCCTTTCGACTCTCCAAGCACTTTCCTTGAGAACTAAGAAAATGAAAACATAAGAACATTAACATTACAATTACGCATTTAATTAGTACTTCTTTTCTATGCAAGCATCCATAAACTTCTGACAAGACTTCAAGAGCGAGCTGCAACTTTCATTAAAAAGAAACAATTGAAAGAACACTGGAAGCATATAGGCATCAACAACAACAAATAAAAAGCTAAGTTTTATAACCATGATACAAGGAATTAAGTTGCCCTTTCATTCAGTGTGATGAAAAGTGTACTAGGATTTTTGAGTGTTAGTCTATTGCAATTCTAAAGAGTTTTAGTTATAAAACTAAATGCATTGAAATTGACCAGATTTCACCAATTTCAATTGGAACACTTAAAGGTTTCATCCATAGTTTTACTTATGAAATACCTTGGGGAGTATGATGTGGGCGGTGAACACTCTATTAAAGGAGAAGTTAAAAGCATTATCATCTATTTAGTGGAACAATTAATTCAACAGACAATACATAAGAAACAGGATAAATGATGAGCATTGCAAACCTAAAAGTCCACATGCTTCATTCAGCATGATCTCAATCAAAACGTCCCATGTATGCAGTAACCTCAAGGCAATTACAAGCAAATATTAAATGATGGAAAAGTTTATTACAGACCTCCCTGAACGATTAAATTTGACAATTAATATCCATATGCTCAGAGAACATAAAGTCATAAGTTGCATTGTAAATCTATCCTTGATAGAGAATCTACCATGAAATCAATGCATTCCTTGAAGGACAAAATAAAAAACACAACAGACCTTATCAAAACCAATTTGTGGAAAAGCCACTTTCTTCAGTGAAGCCATGAAGAACTTGCCGCATTGTTAGCCCATTAGAATGTGCAAACAATCCATCTATGATTTCAACCCAAGTTAGAAACTGTACACGATGCATGAATTTTCATTTTCTTGACAGTGAAATTAATTATGAGTTCTTAAGCTGTTTTAAGTTGATAGTAAAAATATAGCATATAAGTTGTTTAAATTCATGAAGACAATATTTCCAACACAATCAAATGAATGACGCCAAGTAAATGAAAAGCATATTGTTATCCATAATCAACATTCATCAGTTTATATTGATGGTAAAATCTGCTAAATGTTTTTACAAAAGGCAAAATGAAGCACATAAAACCTTGTCCAACTCCATTTGCATAAATCCCCCTTCCTCTCAGTGAAGGCTTGAATAACTATATCATTGTAGTTATTAGATTTTGCAAGTTACAACCTTTATTCACAGGCACAAGGAATTATTTCATTTTTCTAAAGGGTGAAGTCTAAACTTTTACAGCCATGATGAATCAAATGCATAATTTAGGAATTACTCACAAGGAACTCTTTCAAATAAAACCAGAAATAAAAACCAAAGCAAACAAGAGCAGAATGTTTACATATATATATATATATATATTCCAAAACACCAATTGGGGAGGAAAGAGCACATGGATGGGCAAGTGGGCACCTCATACTTTCCACATTTATCGTCCTCATATGATTGGGGAAGAAAGAGTGAGATACCACCTGCTGTCTCTTAATTCAAGTTCAGTTTCCCTGTCTCTCAAATATTCCTTGTCTCTTTCGCGATCACTATCATGCCTCCTCGATGACCTCGACCGACTCCGGCTTCTCTGGTGCAACTCAATCTCCTTCTCCTTCTCCTTTTCTCTGTCTCTCATCTCCCTTTCTCTCTCCTTGTCTTTCTCTCTTCTCTCCCTGTCTCTCGCCCTCTCCCTCTCTTTCTCCTTGTCTCTCTTGTCTCTTTCCCTCTCCTTGTCTTTCTCTCTGGAGCCTCTCTCCCTCTCCCTATCTTTCTCTCTGGAGCCCCTATCCCTCTCCCTGTCTCTGTCCCTCAGCCTCTCTCTCTCGGACCCCCTATCTCCATTTCTACTAGTCCTGCGACGATCTTTGTCTCTCTCAACATCTTTCTCAGCAGCATCCCTAATTGACCGCTCTCTCTGGGACCCATTCTCTTCCTCCCCTCTCGATTTCTTACTCCTCCGATGCTCCTCCTCTTCATGGCTGCTGTCTTCCTCTACGGACCTCTCTCTCCTCCTGTAACCTTTCTGGCTCTTCTTCGTCGACGAACTGTCTCGCTTGCCCTCTTCCACGGTCTTTTCCAGGTAATCGTACTCATCGAATTCCATTTTCAACTTCTCTCTCTCTCTCTCTCTCTCTCTCTCTTCAAGGTTCTTCGAGGTTGATCAAGAGGAGGAACGTTGAAGAAGTTATACCCCAAAGCGTGAGCTTTTTACTGTATCAGATCGCTCGATTTCCTTCTCTCTTTTTCTTTGAGTCGAGCGAATTACTGAAACACTAGTGTTCTGGTGTCTTGAGGGTTTCTCAAGGAAAGAGAGAATTCAGATCGGACGGCTTATCTTTTATGGCCCTGTTTGGATGGAAAAAATTATTTCTTGGCCACGCGGCCATCCCCAAACCAATTACAAATCTCCGACCTGTTATATTCCTCAATTATTAAATGTGCTTTTTTGACAAGTTGGTAAAAAGTCAATTTTTAACTTTTTATTTATTTTTAATCACATTATCTCTTACATAACTTACTCATAAAAAGATAAAATAAATTAAAAAAGTCAAAAAATTAATTTTTTACCAACTTTTTAAAACACTCCAATATAAAATTGTGAGCCTACTTGTCCATCAATCATAATAGATGTGGAGCATTACGTGACATTATTCCTAACAAAAATGTTAAAGATTTTAAACGTTTTATTAAAAATTTTGAATAATTTATATATATTAATTAGTATATCAATTGATGACGTGTCATAATTTGAAAATTTTTAATATTTGTAATGTAATTAATGAGTGTGGTGAATAATAAGATCATAACTAATTAATATACTAATTGATGCATGTAACACTACCGAAATTTTTTATTAAATATCGCATATTCGTATAAGACATTTAATATAATTTTTGGGCTTCTAACATTATTCTATCCCTAAATTAATCAATAACTTTTCGTTTGAAAGACGGTTAGAAGTTAAGGGATATTTTGAAAAGTAGGTTAAAAGTCACTTTCCTATTTTTAACACACTTTCTCTCTCACAAAAAAAAAAAGAACTAAAAAACTAAAAAAAATTAAAAGTCAGTTTTTAACTCTCTTTTCAAAACACTCATAAATTAATAAAAACAAAAATAAACTAAGGGTAAGGGTAAGGGTGTAAATTTGGCCCCGCCCAAGCCATGTCGGGCCTTCCGTGCTCCCGCCAAAATTTGGGCAGGCTAGAAAATTAGGCCCAGGTCGAGGCCCAGGCCCAAGGGAGATTCAGGCTTTGAACGGACTGATGGTCCTAGGCATAGGCTCAGTTTGGGCGAGCTTGAACAATTTTTTGCTTTTTTATTTTATTTTTTATACTAAAATTTTATTATTTTCCACTTAAGACATTGGGTCTCGAGCGAACTGAGCCTTGGGACGGATCTTGAGTGGGTCTTAAGCGGACCGATGGACGGGGCTTCAAATTGATGGCCCAAGCCCAGGCCTAGGGTTTTGGCATGGGCTCGAGCCTGGGATGCTGATACCCTGGGCCCAAACGGGCCTAAACGGACCAGGCCCGCCCCCGGCCGCCCATGGGCTGTTGACCATTTTTACACTCCTAACTAAGTAGTGTTTTGGAAAGATAGTTGGAAGCTAGTTTTTTGGCTATTCTTGATTTTTTTAGTTTATTGTGTAAACAATATGAGAGGCGATGTGACCTAAAATGAGTTAAAAACTAGCTTTTGACTTTTTATTTGCTTTCCAAATGGCCCCTAAAATAATCAATAAAATAAAATGTCAGATCTAAACCATAATCATTTTATTTTTTTCTTATAATTATCAAATCAACTATAAATTTTTTTTAAAAAAAATTAACTATCTTTTTAAACACAACTTTTAATAAGTTTCACATTTCATTTATATTTATAATAAAAATGTTTTGGTGACACATCTAGAATTTAATACTCATATTTAATTACCATAAATATTATTGTTAAAAACATTTATAGTTTCATGAATTAAGCCCATGTAAGGCTTGGTTGGCATAGCATAAAAAAGAAATCAATTTTTTAGAAAAAAAAATTCTTTCAATTTTAATTTTTTTTTAAATATGAGGGGCTTCAAAAAAAATTAAATTATAATTGTGTGACAAATTTAAAATTAACATATATTAATATCAATTATATCAAATCATTGTGGATTAAATTATAATTTTTTTAAGAATTTTAAATATTATTATTATACATGAAGTTCGTAAAGCGATTACTTACAAAAATTTAAAAGTCTTGTGTGTTTAGTTTGTGTTTGTAGAGTAGTTTTTTAGATAAAAAGTACAAAAACTTATTTGGTTTGACTTTTTTCAGAAATAGTTTTAGAAAATTGATTTGATGTGTATGAGAGAGAGAGTGATTTTGAAAAGTAGGTAACCAAACAAAATTTAGAGATTTTTTTTGAAAAAAATTGTTTGGTTTGATTACTCTTGAAAATTTATTTATAGAGAATTTTTCCCAACATTTTTTTTGAAAAACAAACCAAACAAGGCCTTAGTGTCCGTTGCTGCACGATACATGTGACTGTTGCTATATGATGCATTTTCAGGAGCAACATATTGAGAATGGTATTTTGAAAATATGAAGAAATATAAAATAAGGTTAAAATAGCGAAAAAGTAACTAAAATAGCCCAGTTATTTGTCTTATTTTTTTTTATTTTTTAAAAATGTTTAACCACTTTCTCACTCTGGCCTTTAAAATTTGTTTTTTCTCACTTTAATCCTCTATATTTGAAGTTTTTCTAGTTTACTCTTAAAAATAATTTTGTTAAAAATTAGACAAAAAATGACATATTAATAATCACGGGACATAAAAATATTTTGTTATGTATAACTTACACATATAACACAAATTCAAATTTCAATATAATAATATATTTTTTTATGTTATGTAACAGTTATCGTGGTATTTTTTGTCTAATTTTGAATAGAAGTTTGTTTTAGGAGTAAATTGAAAAAATTTGAAACATAAAAAGCTAAAGTGGAAAAAAAAACAAAAACAAAACAAAAAAAACAAAACAAATTTTAAGGACTAAAGTGTGAAAGTGACCAAATATGAAGGGATAAAGTGTAATTTATCCTTTTTATATTTACTGTTTTCTATTTATATTTTGAAAACCATAAACAAAATTTGATTTTTGTTTTTGTTTTTGTTTTCAAAAAAAGTAGTAAACAATTTACAAAATTTATTAAATTTTATAAACACAAAAAGTTAATTTCGCTTTCTTTTTAATTTTTTCTTCTTTTTCCCACATTCCCGACTAATCATTGCCCCCCTATCCTGCCTCAATTTTATTTATTAAACATATAATATGTATATAATTTAATTTTTTAATATAATAAAACCAAAATATTAAAATACTATACTTAATTACTCATTTATTTATTATATTATATCTTTTAGCTCTCATTAATTATAAATTATTATTTATAATATACTATATTACTTTTAATTTTTTTATTTTTAAAGTTACAAAATTAATTCACTCCCGCGCCACTCTCGCCCCACCCTAGATATGATATGGAGTATGGGTATAGAACGACAAATCTACTCCAAACCTACCTTATTATCATCCCTACTCATCACTGTCAGCTACTATCACTGATGACTTCCTCCACCAACCACCTTCGGCCACCACCACTTGTTATTGCCACCAACTACCTTTTCACTAGCCGTAACCAATTTTTGTTATCTCCTTTTCTTAAAAACCACTTTCAATTGCCATTTTAGATGGCTGATTGGCCACCATATCTGACTATTGACAATCATTTTCGAACAACACTTCTTGTGGCCAATAACAATCTACAATAATTGCCTACTATCTCTTACAGGTGGCAACCACTTTCAACCACTACTTCATGTAACCAATATCTATCTCTGATCACCATCTTCAACCGTTGACAATCACCTCTTACAACCCCTATTTTCACTTATTTTCAAAATAAAATTTTAAATACTTGTATACCAAATATGTTTTATTTTTATTTTTATTCAAAATAACTATAAACATATTTAATATATTTTTTTGTAAACAAAAAATAATAAATTGTTAACGCCAACGTTTGTGGCAGTTGAAGACAACGTCACTGGTTATTATTGTTTTTTTTTTATTATTGGGCAAATTATAAATACATCTCTTGAAGTTTAGTTAAATTACAGATTCTTATTGAAGTTTCAGAAATTACATTCCGCCCCCTGAAGTTTATATTCGCATAACAATTTTACCCTTACCATTAACTAAACGTTAAGAATGGTTAGCTAACATCACCAAAATATAAATTTATGGACGATATTGCCCTTGCTGAAATCTCTTTGATAAATCAATAAAATTTATAAAAGAATTACGTTAGATGGGGCAAAAAATTAAGCTTTTAAAACCATGTTTGATTTGTTGTGTAGAAAAAATTTTCTGAATTTAAAAAAATAAAAATAAAAACTAATTTAATAAAAATAAATATGAAAAAATATATTTCATTTGTAAAAATTATTTCTAACCACTCAAAAGATAAAATTATATAAAATAATAATAATTATTATTATTTTTTATTTCTTAATCAAATTAAATTTTAATTTTTTAAAATTAAATTTCTAAAAATCAAACTAACCTATTGTAAGATTTTTTTGACAAGCTATTGTTTTTAACCTATTTAATTATTTGTTAATTTTATGATATTTTCACCATCTGACACTACAACATATAAGAGTTTTAGAGACCATTTTTTTTTATATCTCTAAAAGTGAAAATTTTGTTACAGAAGATATTTAGAGACTAATTTCTATTGTCATGAAGATAATCGCTAAAAGGTCGCCTTGAAAAGTAAAAAATAAGGCTTTTAGCGATAAAATTTTGAAAATGTCAATAATTAATAGATTTTAGGGATAAAATAATTTTGTATCAAAACAGTTAATTTTTTGAGACAAAAAATTCGATACCAAAAAGATAATAATTAATCACTAATGTTCAATTTTCGTTACTAAAAATATAATAACGACACTTTTCGCAACAAAAATATTTAATCTCCAAAAATAATTTTGTCCCTAAATTTTGGTCTCTAAAACCTTAATTTTTTGTAGTGTGATGAGTGTTTTTCCATTTTAATTTTGCATTTCATAACTTATTTAAAAATGATAATTTAGCTAAATCTCAGGAGAAATCTATAATTTAGCTAAACCTTAAGAGAAAATTTGTAATTTAACTAAACCTCAAGGCTATGTAAGTAATTTGCCCTTATTTGTTAAAAATATATTTTAGTCAATTTATGATATCTGTTAACGGCATTAATTACGATGGTACATAATATAATTTTTGAAACTTTAGTCAATTTATGATATATT